TCCTCTACACTTTAAAAGGTTATCTACATCAAGTTCAAAAACGACCCTCAGGTACCCAAAACTGACCTTCACTCAGGTTACCATTCTCGAAAACTCAGTATATTATCTCTATGCAACTCAGAGGGCTCGACAGCCCAAACATGTCGGATCAATTCGGGCTTGGTCTGAGGTACGACGACGGGCTCGTAAAAGAGCCATGTCAATCAGCAGAGGATCAGAAAGAACACTCGCATCCGGGTTAGATATCAGCGGTCAACAACAAAGGAAAACATTCAAAGGCCCTGAAGGGCACGAGGGCATGCAATAATAAGGCAAGAATCGAAAACAGAGGTCAAGAAAGTATATTCATATTCATAAAAATCCATGTACAACGGCCCTCGAGGGGTCCTTACGTACAGTTACAAAAGCCTACAGAGGATCTCTACACCAAAAATGGAGGAGCGAAATGATGTACATGTGATGAAACCCGAGAGCTCGGTCCATCCTCGAAAATTCATCTTTGATATCAGCATCCTCGGGCGCCGCCCTCTCGAGCACACATCCTCGAGGGCGATTCCTTCGGCCGCCGCTTCCTCTAGGTTCTCAACTCAATTCCTCAGGGGGTCTTGCCCGAGGAAAAGATGAAGAAGAGGAAAAGGAGGGGATGTAGAGGAGGCAGAGAAAAGAGGCATGACCCGCCAAAGCCAAAGGTTGAAGATTCGGCAGGCCCCTGCCTCAACGACCGGTAGTGCCACTTTATCCCTTGGGAAAGGAATAACCCAAGGGATGAAGTGCCCCACCAGGCCCAGGTAGGAGAGTGAGCAGTGGCGCATAGTCCGAATGACTGCCTACGAAAGAAAAAGATCAACTCCCCGTCCGACATCATCTTGGACCAACGACAACAATAATGGCGAACATAATAATGACCACAGCAGCAACAGGATAGCATGATCATGCTCGATGAAGGTAAGCTCCGGCAACAGACCACAACACAGCCTGCGAGAGCTCTGCCGAATGGCCTTGAGGCCATGAGACCCAAACATGATGTTCAAGGATGGAGGAAGATGATAAGAAGAAATGGACAAATAAGCCAACGGAGGTACTGGGATAGAAAAATTAGCGCCAAGGCACCCCCATTTATAGGGGGTAACGACACGGTCATCGAGGCTTTGGGAGACTGACCGACAGACGCAATACTGCGCTCTTGAGGAACTGAATCGACGGCAGTACACTCACCTTGGAGAACGGGAATCGACATCACATTAAATGATGTCAAATGCACAAGTCTGTGGGGCATCCCGGTTGCCACAAAAGCTTGCGCCACAGGTTGTATCATTGGTTTGACGTCACCATAAGAAGCTCGAGGAGTCAGGTGTTAGAATCATTTCCCATCGCTTCGTTCTGGGAAACGCAAAGACTATTTGTATGCGGCGAAATTAGAGGACTTGATTTCTCGCTATCAATACACTTCGGAAGAATGCCTCGAGACCCCGAGGACGTGAAGCCACGACCAAGTTCCCTCTCTCGGGGCTCATCAGGGCCCGACTCGAAGAAGACGGAGGACGAGGCTAGAATAGAAGGGGAAGTTCCCTACGCACACGGCTAAGTCTGACAGGGCCGGGATATTTAGAGCCTATGCCGAAGCATGGCATCTAGCCGTCACATCTTCATACTTTACAATTAATGCCCATGTACTATAGCCGGGTTCCCTCCTATATAAAGGGAACCCACACTACCTTGTAAAGGGCTGAGGTTGCTCCAACTATTTCTCCACAAAATCAATAATATCTCTCTCTCTTTTCTCTCTAACTCGCTTGTTCTTATTGGCCCGAGGCCACTTTAGCACTTACTACTCTCATGTTTGTTCTTCATTTATTGCTTGGCCTTGGCCATAAGGAGCCTTGTTTAATCATATCTTAATTGTTATCCCTTTCCCGACTACCCCCGATAGCTCGAGAGCGAGCCCAAGTATTGACCCCGAGGCCCTCATCGACCAGTTCGAAGCCAGGGCAGTAAACCCCTCGGTCTGATTATTGCCTCATTTTAGCTCGCATTTCATCGTTAAACTTCATATTCTTAGCATCATCTGCTCATACAACTAGCATAAAAATAGATCACGTATTTTTAGAATCCCATCTACAAATTTAATTGTTGTTACCATTTTCACGGTAAACAGATTTCCTGGGCTAGCGCGGTCGTGCTGAGGGTGCGCTAATGGCCGTGCTAAGCGGGTACAACACTTTATCTCTTCTTTTCTCTCTTCTTTCACACGTACTCAACTCCGAGGGGCTTCCCTTGATTTAATTTAGCTCCAAATACTGTCCTAAGTCCTCATAAGCACAACTCACTCCTGCAGAACATGAAATTCACAATTAGAGCCAATTTATCGTCATTTAACCATCCTAGAACAGTGAAGCATAGTCAATTTAGGGCATAAACAGTCACCAAACTACATGAATCTAGCCTAATATCACTCTCTCACCGTTTTTCTCTCTTAATAAGGTAAGCCTAAAAATTGTCTTCTGCCAATCAACCTTTTGAAGTAACCTCCAGGTCGTAGGAATTGAAGATTCGAACACTAATCTATCATAAAGCTTTGAATTCGAATTTGAATTTTTAAAAATAATTATTTGTTTGGATTGGGTGTTATTGCAAACAATTAGGTATATTGTTTTGAGTTCACATCTCAATTTTAAGGGTGGTTGGTGAAGATTAGACTTGGTTCTGATTGAATTTAAGATTGAAACTCAAAGAAGAAGAAGAAGAAGAAGAAAAAGAAGAAGAAGAAGAAGAAGAAGAAGAAGAAGAAGAAGAAGAAGAAGAAGAAGAAGAAGAAGAAGAAGAAGAAGAAGAAGACATGACATACAATATACTTACAAAATTATAGTAAAGTTATAGTAAAATTGTAGGTAAATTGTATTCTATTATAGTTATATATATTTATTTTATTTGAATGTTGTATGATAATAAAATCTAGTTGCCTCCCCATGTATAATTTGAGAAACTGGTGATAGTTGACATAACAACACTTATTGGCATTTAACTCTAATATTCACACAATTATGCATCACAAAATTCTTCTTTAGCAAATGTCTTTCAAGGAATAATATTTATCTGATTATGTTATCCGCTTAACATAATTAATTTCCTTAAACATGCATTACTTTTCGTAACTCGGAGGAAATCAAAACTATATCATAAGCACCGAAAGTGTGCAGGTCTATCACGTAACCAACTTGAAAATATGGCTCCTTATTACTTAGACAAATGGCAATACTTTGTTGGCACATAGAGATTTTAAACTTATCGACACTTTTGGCAATTATTGTCACAAGTTATTTGGTCAAGTTACATAATCAAACTTTACCCTCAATGAAATTATAGTCAATTGCGACTTGGAATGTGATATTGAATTAGTCACATTGCATTTGATTTTGTAATATTGAATTATAACTAACTATACAGTATACACGTATTTACAACTAATCTACAATGTATCTATAACTCTCTACCCAGTTAAATAAAACTACAATATCATACAACTTAAATACAATTATTATACAAATTTTATACAATATGTCTTTTGTATATTTTGTATCTGATTTGCATATATTTTGTGTGTGGTGTATGCTTTTTCCTCTCTAAAATTCCAATAAAAACTTACTCTCTTAATACAATTTTGATACATATCAATAACTTTATGTGAAAAGATAACTTAAATACAAATTTTATACAATGATTCATACATAATATAACTATTTTTTAACTTTCATACAATATTCAAATAACAAAATATATATAACTACAACATAATACTCCCTCTGTTCCCGTTTATGTAAATCTATTTCCTTTTTAGTCCATTCCAAAAAGAATGACTCCATTCTAAATTTGGTAACAATTTAGCTTAAACTTCCAACTCTACCCTTAATGAGAAGCATTTATAACCACACAAATACTCAGGACCCCTTTTTGACTTGTTTAGGACCACAAATTCTAAAAGTCTTAATCTTTTCTTAAACTTCGTGCCCAATCAAACATGTTCACATAAATTGGAAAGGAGGGAGTACAATTTATCTACAATTTTACTACAACTTTACTATAATTTCATAACTATCTTGTATGTCATGTCTTCTTCTTCTTCTTCTTCTTCTTCTTCTTCTTCTTCTTCTTCTTCTTCTTCTTCTTCTTCTTCTTCTTCTTCTTCTTCTTCTTCTTCTTCGAGTTTCAATCTGAAATTCGGCTAAAATCAAGTCTAATCTTTACCAAACACCCTCAAAATTGAGATATAAACTCCAAATAATATTCTCAATTATTTGCAACAACACGCAATCCAAACAAATAATCGCTTTTGAAAACCCAAATTCAGTTTCAAAGCTTCAAAGCTTTTTAATGGTAGTCAATGGTGGAAACTCTATACAGCAAGAAATCCATTGATGAATTACTACAATATCTTCGTCTTGAATTTAGTACTTCAATGTTTGTAATCCGCACTTTTGAGTTGCAATCTTTGTTCTGTGAACTCTAAATTTTATAATAACCAATTAAGTGTGAAAGTTCTACTGCTGAAATCATATTCTTTTATTAAGATCATACTACTGGAAAGAAAGCTAGACGATGGATACATTAGAAAAAGCAGAAAGAGTGGACAAGTATAAAGAAATAGGGAAATAACTGATATTCTTTATTCAATTCCTAATATAAATGGATACTCATTCAAAACTTTTTTGTATATAATTGGTAAATTGTATATAACCATGTAATTAAATTGAAATTTGAGTAGGGACTATGGAGGGTAATAATTAAGGTTTAAATTTCCCACCCATAAGAGGCATCATGGGCCGGGAATCCACATTGGCGCCAACTTTATACCTCTAAACCACGTAGGAGACGGTTAAGTTTTTCACATAAATAAGGAAAACTGTCGCACAAACCTCGCCCTTTCAAACTCTTATTCCAACTTCTCAAACTACACATCCCTCAATATCAACATCCAAAAACCCTAGTTCTTGATTCTTCACAACATGAGTACTCTCCCTATCAAGGAAGAAATCGTCGACCCAACAGACAACTTAGATATACCAACAAACAGTACTACTGCTATGATGATTCCTGTAAGCAGTAGCAATGTTTTTTTTGGTTCTTGTTTTGATTATAGTGATGATGATATGGAAGGAATTAGTCCATTGAAAAAGATGAGAGCAGAAGCTGCTTTGCCAGTAGGGTTTGTTGATCCTCTTCCTCCCGAAGAGCGTGCGGCATGGCAACAGTCTCGTATTAATGCTGGCAAGGCTAGTAGTATTGGTTTTATTGCTCCTTTGCGGTCGGTTCGTCCAAAAGCCGAGTATCGTGACGTACCTTTTTCGCGCAATGATCAGCTGGTAGTAGTGGCTGGAGAAAAGCAGGTTGTTGCTCCTGCTAATATTCCAAGTTGTAAGCAGTTCTGGAAAGCTGGAGATTATGAAGGCATTGATGGTGGTTTTTCTGCTGGTCATTCAGGTAATCTTTGACTAGTTCTTTGACTGACTACTTTATTGAGTACTCTTCTCCTAAAAAAGATGATGGGGTTGGAAAAAATCCTGGTAAGAAGCGTTTTCGCTTTTTAATGGGAAGCAAGGGCCAAGCTACATGTCTTAAAGGACGGTCAATTTCTTTGTCGTAAAATTACACTGCCTATATAGGTAAAATATTAGGTTTTAGAGATATATAACATATATCGAACACCCTTTGTTGTGGAAATTTTTTACTTTCTTTCAAGTTTGAATACCCTTGGATGATGGGGTTGGAGGATGAATGCATGAAAAAATTTCTTCTGTATTATGAAATTAAGTTCTTATAAACAGTACCCTGGAAATCACAATTTTTTACAGTACGGAGTATGAAAGTACTACTACTAGACACAGTGTTATTTTATAGCTAAAAATATTTCAAGAGAGGTCTATTCCTTTCTGGACAGAGGGAGTATTTGGTATACGGATATTTTACTATTGAATCAACTTGTCAAACCATGCTAGAATGAAAAAAGTAGCATTATGGTGGCCAAAAGCAGTGGCTTTGACAGAAATCAAGCATTAATGATTTATTGAGATCTACTTTCAATTCAGAGAGCTTTCAGAACCGTTACTCCTAGTTCTCAGCTTACATGTTCGTCAAATTGAAAACTGATAGAAGAACTAAGCACACAAGATATCATAAGCTTTTCCCAGTTTCCTTCTACCTATGTTGCAGGTTTGAATTTTCCAGTAAAGGAAAGAGTTTTTGGACATTGCCACATAATTTAATCTAATTGATGGATGTCATGGTTGACCAGTATTTGAACTCATGTGCAATGTAGCCATGAATGACTTGAATTTGGGATGGAATTCAGAGTTTGGTAGATGTGTTCGCCAATTATTGGCATAGTCTTGCTTCCTGATGCTACTTGTTGTTTTAAAAAGCAAATTAATGGAGATAATATCCCAATAGTTCATTTAGGAGCGTTGCATGCATAACAAAGTTTCTTTTTTCGTTAAGGCATCGTAACTTACTCTCGAAATCAAAACAAAAACATCTGAGCATCTAATTTATACCTTAAGCAATGAGTGGGGTAGTATAAGCTTATATGCTTCTCTAAAAACCTTTACAATATATATATACCAGAAGTGAAAAAATATAATATTGTGGCTCAACGAGTTTATTTGTCGAGGTGGAGAAAGTAGCTTTGACTGGCTGAAGACAAGGTCCAAATCATAGCTAGCTAGAAAAGTAGCCTGAAGTAGAGAGATAAGCCTCGACTAGCTAACAATGTGCTTGAAACAAAGTTGAAGGCTCGATGGGCTAAATTGAGTGAAAGAGAGCCTAGAGAATATTGATGGCCTGATGGTCAGTTGAGGGAGGGAAACCTAGAGCGACAGAACATGTCGTGAGAGAACTGTTAACGCTGGGCTTACTGAGCTGTCTCTATTTTCATGTGAAAGAATTTTAGCATCCAACTCAAAAGCGTTAAGACAATAGGTGAAGTATTGTTACTGATATGGTATTGTTATTTGATTTCATATGTGCAGTTGGCATGGATCATGTGAGGGTTCACCCAAAATTCTTGCATTCAAATGCCACCAGTCATAAATGGGCTTTGGGAGGTAAAATCTGATGCAAAGCTTCATCTTTCATTTACTTTTCATATTCCTCAACTCCATTTATCCCATATATACATATATATATAAATTATTGGAAGATATCACTTTGTTGATGTTTACATGATCTTGTTTTCTGCACCAGCTTTTGCTGAGCTTCTAGACAATGCTATGGACGAGGTATACATGCTATAGTTTCCTGTTCCTTTATTGCCTTCTCTGTTCTCCCTACTTAAAATATTATCCTTTCAGGTTTGCAATGGAGCTACCTATGTCAGCGTAGATGTGCTTGACAACAAGAAAGAGAAGGGCAAAATGTTATTAGTTGAAGGTATATTTATCCACTCTCCTTGTATAGTTTTTGGTCATTTTTTCTTTATTTGAGTAGATGGTTCTCTGGATTCTTAAAGTTTTTCGAGAGAATCCACTTTCTTGTTCTAGAGACCATAGTTGTGGATCCAATATTTGATCAATATGTCATGAAATCTCTTGCTCTAAAGTTGGTAGGGAGCTCTTTCTTGTTCGAATCTTGAACTTATTCTTTTACAAATGGCACTGCAGATAATGGCGGTGGAATGACTCCTGATAAAATGCGCCAATGCATGTCTCTTGGATATTCTGCAAAAAGCAAATTAGCAAATACCATTGGCCAATGTGAGTTTTTATATTTGTTGCAACACCTAAACTATTTTTGTTGTATCACTAAAATTTCCTCTTGGAAACTGCTTTTCAGTATGCAACAATTACCTTATTATTTTGTAATGTTTTGCAAGATGGAAATGGTTTCAAGACCAGTAGTATGAGACTAGGGGCAGATGTGATTGTATTCTCGCGTTGTCAGGGAAGGGACGGAACAAGGTACTTTATGGTGCTAGTACCTGTTGCTTGCTAGTTTCTCATGCAGTCGTCTTCCTAGATATTATGATTGCAATTTCTGAAGTAATATGTTCTTTTTGTTTTCTGTAGCACAACACAAAGTGTTGGAATGTTGTCATATACATTTTTAAGGAGCACAGGAAAAGAAGATATTGTTGTTCCAATGGTATGACTACCTGGATACTGCAATGAGCACATTCTTGTTGTTTTGTTGGATAACTAGAACATATTAGCACTATATTTGCTTGATTCTTCAAATTTTCTTACTTTCTGTTTGAAAATTAGAGTTTTCAATCAAGATAGTTATTACAGCCGGTTTTGTATTTCGTAAACAGTCATTTAGTTGTAGGAATACAAATTATTGAATATGCTTGTTGTACTTTGCAATGTGAAGATTGATTTTGTGAAGAGAGAAGAAACTTGGGAAATGCTGACTCGATCTTCAGTTGATGACTGGAAAAGAAATTCAGAAACGATAGTACAATGGTCTGCTTATGAAAGTGAAGAGGATCTCTTCCAGCAGGTATTACCTATTGGCTCTTTATGTAGTTGTAAAGGATGAAAATATATTTTGGTAACTGTGAACTATCTTTTTTTCTGATGCATGTTTCCGCGTTTAAGGTTGCTACTATTGTTTCCGTTCATTAGTTCTGCTCCTAATGTTATTGTTCTTCTTTGTTGTAGTTTGAATTATTGAATGATCAAGGCACACGAATTATCATATACAATCTTTGGGAGGATGAAGAAGGAGCAACAGAACTTGACTTTGACACCGATCCACAAGTATTCTGCTTTTCTTGAATTCAATATCCCAAACCCCTATCTTTTGTTTCTTAGATGGATTATGCTTTTATCTTCTTCAGGACATTCAAATCAGGGGTGTTAGTCGAGATGAAAAGAAGATTGAGATGGCAAAACAATATCCTAACTCCAGGCATTTTCTAACTTATCAGCATTCTTTAAGGGTAAATATACTTTTTCGGAATTCTTCAAAGATTGAAGCTTTATTTAAGATCTACTTCACGTACATTCTATTGGTTACTTTAACAAGGTTCAGGAAAAAGTATAAGGGTTATTGCATTGCATATTAGTCTTCTGGAATTGACTTATGTCTTGATCTTTTGTTCTCAGAGTTATGCTTCAATTTTGTATCTGAGGCTAGCTCCTGGATTTCGAATAATTTTGCGGGGAAAAGATGTTGAACATCATAATTTGGTAAATGACATGATGTTATCTGAGGAAATCACCTACAGACCGCAACCCGTTGGTGATGAAACATCCAAGGATCCAAATGTAACCATTTTTTCCCTCTAAAGTTTCAAGCTTGATTTGCTATTTTAGAAGTATTTTTGCCACTTTTGACTTTTCTAGCAATCATAATTTTTCTCATAATAGGCGGTAGCTGTGGTAACCATTGGTTTTGTGAAAGATGCAGAACATCACATTGATATTCAAGGTTTCAATGTTTATCACAAGAACCGGCTAATTAAGGTATAACTTTTTCTTTCTCAAGGGATCATAGTTGGATTTTAATGCTGGTGTAGGCGAAATTTCAATGCACATGTCGAATTAGTTCTTTGTAAATCCACTATTTATATATATCAGGAGAAAATGTGGGATAGGACAACCTGCTAGTTGAAGTTTTTGTATATACCAATTCGTTTTAATTCACATACTGCAATTTTGTATTATTACTTTTGATTGCATCTGCTTAGCTGATGCATTTCTTCTTTGTCAGCCTTTCTGGAGGGTGTGGAATGCTGCTGGAAGTGATGGTCGTGGCGCGATAGGTATTATTTTCATGAGGAATCAGTGATTTAGTGACATGATATCTTATTTTGGACTTTTTAATTGATATTCTTTACCTCATAGTGTTAAACTTCTATAAATTACTTTTCTGGTTTCCTTTTTTCGTAACAGGTGTCTTAGAAGCTAATTTTGTCGAACCAGCTCATGATAAACAGGGTTTTGAGCGCACAATTGTCCTAGCTAGACTTGAGGCTCGTTTACAAGCGATGCAGAAGAAGTATTGGTATGTTCCATTGAGTTTCCTCAACATTATAAGTTTGCTTTATTTACGAAGAGTTTATTTCATTTATAGGTCTTCAAACTGCCATTTAATTGGTTATGCTAAGCGTCGCAATGTAAAGAACAGTGTCTCTCCTGAGAAAGAAACGAACACTTGTGCTAACAGCAAGTCCTGTTCCCGGTTTTCCTCCAACGGCCACACAACTTATAATGACAAATCTAAATCCAAATCCACTGGAGGAGAACACGAGAAGGGACCAGTTCATTCTTCAACACAAGCGAGAAACCAGACTATGTCTGGAGAAACTCAGCAAGCGCGTTTATCAAATAAGCAAACTGCTCAAACTCCAGGAATTTCAGTTGTGAAGGTAAATTATAAATAGACAAGCTATTGTCATTCTTTTCTTGTTCATTAAATTCTGTCATTCTTTCCATATGCCTAACCAGTGTTACATTGCCTTTGTTTACGACTAATTCATTATCGAGCATTTATTTTCTATTCCATGTTCAACTCCCAAAAAAGGGCAGCCTGGTTCACTAAATTCCCGCTATGCACGGGGTCCAGGAAAGGGCCGGACCACAAGGGTCTATTGTACGCAGTCTTACCTTGCATTTGTGCAAGAAGCTGTATCCACAGCTCGAATCCTGTGACCTCCTAGTTACATGGCAGCAACTTTATTTATTTCGTTTGATGAATTACTTTGTAATGGCTGAGACCAGTACTATTAGTCGACAGTCTTTAGGATTTCCCAATCATTAATTTTCTCTCTTTTGTCATTTTCATTGAAAACAGGTGGAAGATACTGTGTCCAACTTGAGAGAAGAGAATCAGAGTACTAAGAATAGGTCAGTAAATTCTCAATAACTTGGTCAATTGATGCTCTTTGGTTGCAAAATTTATGGCGAAGACTCAATGTGGATCATCTATTTGCTTCCTGCAGTTTACAACAAGTATTGCGCGATTTGCAGTATGAAAGAGACAGGAATAGGACTCTAGAAGGCAAAGTAAGTGATAATTGTGATCTAAATGGTAGATGTGTTGGTCCCTTATATTATACTTAAGTCTTTAATTATCTAATCACATATAATATCAGCTTAAGGCAGCAGAAAAGAGGATATCAGACCTTGACAACAATCATGACAATTTAGCTCTCATGCTTATAGAAGAAAGAAGACATTGGCAACAAGAAGAAGAGAGTTTAAGATGCAGATTAAAGGTGAAATTGATATGTTTTTGTTTTCCTTTTAACTTTATGCAGACTATGTCACTTGTCCTACTTCAACCATTTTCCCCCTTTTTTCTGGTTAGGATGCTTCTGTTACCATAGACGGGCTGCTCAAGAAAGTGAAGGTGCTAGAAAGTAGGATAACCTTTAGTTGCAAAACCGAACGTTGAGGTAGCAACACGAAATACACAGTTCAACAACAACTCTTCAATCCAATGCTAACATGTATATTAGATTTATTTTTCCTATGGATGTAATTGCTTGTACAAAAACAAGTTGGCTCTTCTGCACAGGAATTCAGATCTCATATGCCTAGAGTGGAAAAACAGGAAACGACTTAATTATAAGTTAACAAAGATTAATAGTTTCGAGTTTTCTCTTTATTGTAACTCAACTTGTGACATACCTTTTCCCAGTAATTTTCATTAGTTTCTCAAGTGATTTAATTTGTCCCGTTGTGAAGATACTATTCGATGCTAAATTATGTGAAGCACTACAAAGAAATTCCATTTGCTAGAACTATCCTCCTTTGTGCTCTAGCAGTAAAAAAGAATTTACTGAAATTGATGCTCACATGATTTTGTGCATTGCAAGTAAGTATTTTAGCTCCCGGTTGGACATAGATTTTGGCTACTTTTTTCCAATTTTTTAATATTTCATGTTCATGAAATTTGATCAGTAAAATGCTTGTTTAGACACAACTTCAACTTCCAAAAATTATTTTTCAACACAACTTCAAAAACTCTTTTTTCATGTTAAATCTTTGTCCAAATTCTAGCTTAGTCTGCGGTAGGGGTGTCAATGGTTCGGTTCGGCCGGTTATTTTATAAAATTTATACCATACTAACGTTTTGGTTATTCAATAATGTATAACCAAAATTAGACTTTTCGAAATCGTCTCATTCATGTCGGTTTTTCTTCGGTATCAATACGGTTAGATTAATTTTCGGTATATTTTTTTAATATCATGTAAAAATCACTAGTATATATACTTTTATAGGACTTAGCAAAACTATCTATATATTTTTACTGTTTAAACGGTGATGAATTATAAAAACATGAAAGATGGCTAGAGTATAGATACATCAACTATTCTACCGCACCCTAAAAGAAAGTAAGCAAAGACTAAAAAAAATATAAATCACACGAGTGAAAAGATATTAACCGAGATGGAACTCAAAAATAAAATCTATAGAAGATTAAATATTCAAAAAGATAAATCTAAATCATACGAAAGGAAACATATTCAATACATTCTAGTTTGCTACTCATTATCACTAGAATAATTTGTGTCTTGCTAGTGAATATGCTGGAAATAATTTAGTGTCAGTAGGAGTAGCATAATAGGTTTGGGAATTGATATTTTGAGTTTAGTTACTTGTTGACTTGTAATAACTTAATAACTTTCATAATTCCAAGGCCAAAGAAAAAATTTATATATATATATTCTAATTTATTCGGTACGATTTGGTATTTTTTGGTTTATTTTTATATAATAAAAAATCTATCCTAATTATCGGTACGGTTATATATTTATATAAAAACCTACAATTTTATTAAAAAAAACCTAAAAATAAATTTGGCGGTATGGTTCAATCGATTTAGTTGATTTTAAATATTCATTGACACTCCTAATCTGCGGTGCAAATCCAGTAGTAGAATGGTGTGAAGGCACTATGCTTGCCTGTACACTATGTTACTTCCATACTGAGGGAAAAGGAGACAACAAATGCTCTTCGCAAAAAAGAGGAGAAGAAAAAAAGAACAAACAAAGAATGACATATCCTTACATTTAGAAACAAATTTAAATTTAAAATTTTTATTTTATTTTGAATGAGATGATTTATAAGCATTTATGGCCTGTTTAGACTCCCACTCGGAAGTTTATACTGGATTTTTTTATTGTTGTTGTTGTTGTATGGCTTTTTTAGACTATATGTTTCAGATATGTTTTTTTAATTTAATTTTATGTACCCAATCAAGCACTGTTACGTAATTTGAAATGGAGAAAGTAACTTTGAAACAGATCAAGGGTGTAACTCATTTAAGAGTGTAAGAGACATAGAAACTTTTAAATTTCCAATGTTTAATAGAAAATCATAAGATCTAAGAACTATATATATAATACAAAAACCAACTCTATGTTATTCTTGAGAAACCACTATTGTTTAGTGGCTATTAACTTCCTATAGCTATACCATATACATAACTATTTCCTATAGCTACTATTCATTTGTTACGGTAGTGTATTTGATGTATTCGCGCTACTGTATTCATGAATAGAGTAGCAAAAATTGCTTAAAAATAGGAGGTTACAGTTGTACGCGATTGTATTCACATGTATTCGCACCATATATTCATGAATACAGTAATGACAATCACCTTAAAATAGGTCTGTCCAGCTGTCTAATAACGAAAATAGGATCAATTAGCATGATACACTCCTAATATAACTCAACAAAATCAATTCTAACATACCTCATTATCAACCCAATTAATTAGAATGATTTTTCAGTTGTATATAACTGTTATATCTAACTTTTGTATTTAGTGTATTTCAATATTTATTTTTACTGTTGCATTCATTAGATGCGATGTTTGTATTTATTGTATTCGTTATTTTATATTTCGTGTATTCAAATGTATTTGTATTAACTGTATTTTAGTTATTTCTAATACATGTTATTACTGTTATATTCAGTATATTTTATTGGTTGTATTCACTATATTTCTATTTGTATTCAGTGTATTTTACTGTATTTTAAAATTAAATGTATTCCCTGTTTATATTCTGTTATATTTCAATGTTTGTATTAAGTGCATTTTAATATTTATATGTTGCATTCATGCATACTTATGTATAATATGCATGAATACAAGTATATTCAGCTGTATTAAAAAATACAGACTTTTGAAATACATAAATACAGGCAAAAAAATATATTTATACATAAATACAATATGTTTGAGTAAATTTATACATAATACAATGTATTTATAGCATTGTATGTGACTAAATAGCAAAGAAGAGAAGAAAGTTCGTCGGAGATGGCGTTTTCCGACCAAGAAGAGAAGAAAGTTTGTCGCAAGGATCGGACGGATCTATGTAGCATAGTGGGGGCGGCACGCCACCGGACGCCTCAGTTGAAACTTTGTATACGTATGTATATATGTATAAGTATAAGTATAATTATAAGTATAAGTATAAGTATAAGTATAAGTATAAGTATAAGTATAAGTATAAGTATAAGTATAAGTATAAGTATAAGTATAAGTATAAGTATAAGTATAAGTATAAGTATAAGTATAAGTATAAGTATAAGTATAAGTATAAGTATAAGTATAAGTATAAGTATAAGTATAAGTATAAGTATAAGTATAAGTATAAGTATAAGTATAAGTATAAGTATAAGTATAAGTATAAGTATAAGTATAAGTATAAGTATAAGTATAAGTATAAGTATAAGTATAAGTATAAGTATAAGTATAAGTATAAGTATAAGTATAAGTATAAGTATAAGTATAAGTATAAGTATAAGTATAAGTATAAGTATAAGTATAAGTATAAGTATAAGTATAAGTATAAGTATAAGTATAAGTATAAGTATAAGTATAAGTATAAGTATAAGTATAAGTATAAGTATAAGTATAAGTATAAGTATAAGTATAAGTATAAGTATAAGTATAAGTANCTAGTTTGCTACTCATTATCACTAGAATAATTTGTGTCTTGCTAGTGAATATGCTGGAAATAATTTAGTGTCAGTAGGAGTAGCATAATAGGTTTGGGAATTGATATTTTGAGTTTAGTTACTTGTTGACTTGTAATAACTTAATAACTTTCATAATTCCAAGGCCAAAGAAAAAATTTATATATATATATTCTAATTTATTCGGTACGATTTGGTATTTTTTGGTTTATTTTTATATAATAAAAAATCTATCCTAATTATCGGTACGGTTATATATTTATATAAAAACCTACAATTTTATTAAAAAAAACCTAAAAATAAATTTGGCGGTATGGTTCAATCGATTTAGTTGATTTTAAATATTCATTGACACTCCTAATCTGCGGTGCAAATCCAGTAGTAGAATGGTGTGAAGGCACTATGCTTGCCTGTACACTATGTTACTTCCATACTGAGGGAAAAGGAGACAACAAATGCTCTTCGCAAAAAAGAGGAGAAGAAAAAAAGAACAAACAAAGAATGACATATCCTTACATTTAGAAACAAATTTAAATTTAAAATTTTTATTTTATTTTGAATGAGATGATTTATAAGCATTTATGGCCTGTTTAGACTCCCACTCGGAAGTTTATACTGGATTTTTTTATTGTTGTTGTTGTTGTATGGCTTTTTTAGACTATATGTTTCAGATATGTTTTTTTAATTTAATTTTATGTACCCAATCAAGCACTGTTACGTAATTTGAAATGGAGAAAGTAACTTTGAAACAGATCAAGGGTGTAACTCATTTAAGAGTGTAAGAGACATAGAAACTTTTAAATTTCCAATGTTTAATAGAAAATCATAAGATCTAAGAACTATATATATAATACAAAAACCAACTCTATGTTATTCTTGAGAAACCACTATTGTTTAGTGGCTATTAACTTCCTATAGCTATACCATATACATAACTATTTCCTATAGCTACTATTCATTTGTTACGGTAGTGTATTTGATGTATTCGCGCTACTGTATTCATGAATAGAGTAGCAAAAATTGCTTAAAAATAGGAGGTTACAGTTGTACGCGATTGTATTCACATGTATTCGCACCATATATTCATGAATACAGTAATGACAATCACCTTAAAATAGGTCTGTCCAGCTGTCTAATAACGAAAATAGGATCAATTAGCATGATACACTCCTAATATAACTCAACAAAATCAATTCTAACATACCTCATTATCAACCCAATTAATTAGAATGATTTTTCAGTTGTATATAACTGTTATATCTAACTTTTGTATTTAGTGTATTTCAATATTTATTTTTACTGTTGCATTCATTAGATGCGATGTTTGTATTTATTGTATTCGTTATTTTATATTTCGTGTATTCAAATGTATTTGTATTAACTGTATTTTAGTTATTTCTAATACATGTTATTACTGTTATATTCAGTATATTTTATTGGTTGTATTCACTATATTTCTATTTGTATTCAGTGTATTTTACTGTATTTTAAAATTAAATGTATTCCCTGTTTATATTCTGTTATATTTCAATGTTTGTATTAAGTGCATTTTAATATTTATATGTTGCATTCATGCATACTTATGTATAATATGCATGAATACAAGTATATTCAGCTGTATTAAAAAATACAGACTTTTGAAATACATAAATACAGGCAAAAAAATATATTTATACATAAATACAATATGTTTGAGTAAATTTATACATAATACAATGTATTTATAGCATTGTATGTGACTAAATAGCAAAGAAGAGAAGAAAGTTCGTCGGAGATGGCGTTTTCCGACCAAGAAGAGAAGAAAGTTTGTCGCAAGGATCGGACGGATCTATGTAGCATAGTGGGGGCGGCACGCCACCGGACGCCTCAGTTGAAACTTTGTATACGTATGTATATATGTATAAGTATAAGTATAATTATAAGTATAAGTATAAGTATAAGTATAAGTATAAGTATAAGTATAAGTATAAGTATAAGTATAAGTATAAGTATAAGTATAAGTATAAGTATAAGTATAAGTATAAGTATAAGTAATCAATATATAGAAGTCTTGTTACACATCGTGTAACAAAGTGACGCAAGGTGCCACTGGTAAGGAGACTAGTTCTCCACCTTCGAGGCGTAAGTTCGGGCCTGACATTTTTCAATTTTTGAAATTTTTTAGTCTACTAAGTTACTCTACAATTTTAGTAATGCTAAGTAACTCTACATTTTTAGTATCTTAACTAACTCACGCTGCTAACTTAATTGTAAAAACTTTTTAACTTAAGCTTTGTTGACCTTTTTTCTTTTATTAATTTTGCTGACTTTCCTTTTTGCCCTTTTTATTTTAGGCATAAAATATGATATTTTCTCGTCTTCCAAATCTTCTCCTCTTTTTTCGTCAAAATTTTCGAAACCTCCCCCTGCTACCTCAGCTTCTCTCCAGTTGTAGCTTCTTATCATTAATTTTACATATTGTTTTACATTGATTTAAATAGTTGACAAAATACAGTGGAAAATAGCATATCGTGTCTTGATTTTGTGTTAGATGATGATTAAAAAAGAAATATTCTTTATGTTAGTAGAAATTATGCCTGCAAGCTTGAGTTGATGTATGAATATGAATTTTTAATATAATATTGGAATATTATTGTCTATTTTCTATAAAGATCAAAAAGACGAATAACTTGAATCGAAGGAAAAAGTTGATTAAGTCGAATGTTTACTCTATTTGAACGGTGTAAATAGCAATGTGTCTAGTTTCAAAGTAGTATGGCACCCGGAACCTTCAAATCCTGGATCCGCCTCTGATTTGTCGGATCCGTACAGAATACAACATCTCATGTTCATGTTACAGTACTCATGCTCTACTTGGATTATTCCGACATCATTTTTGCTCCCCTTGTGGTCCTAGTCTCAGAGCGACCAATCCCTCCTTGTTATGGAGGAATCTGGTTTTGAAGAAAAGGTCCGTCTTTCCCCTCTTTCTCCCAACAGTTTAGAAGTATTTTCAATTACAGTAACCCTAGAGGATTCGGCCAGAGAAGCAGGTATTTTCTTCAAGAAGAGAGAAGGAAAAGAGAGAGAAAAAGAAGAAAAATTCTGAGAGAGAATCGTGTGTTAATTGAAAGAAAGAGAGAAGAAAAACATAAATAATGTATTTCATGCCTCAATGGTAGTATATACCATAAATACTTATATTGTTATAAAATATAAAAGGTAGTTATATATAGAAAATAATATTTTAAAATGGTTTTAGTTTATAATAAATAGGGTGGTATAAGAGGTAAAATTTCCTGTATATATTGGGAATTCCGACTAGGCATTAATGCTTCCACTCTACTTTACGAGTATAAGGTATAGAGGCGCACTCGCATTTATGCTTCTACTCCTATTTAATGCATATTGTTCTTCTTTATCAGGACACCAAACATTCCCTGGAATATAATGCAAATTAATATGTTGATTTAATGATTCTTAATTTCATCTCTACAGAAAAGAAAAAATGGTTGGTCGTGAAATAATTAATGTATGATCATGGCATTAGGCCAACCAGATTGCCATGATACTATTACCCCTACCAGATATATATTTCTAACTTTATTTGCCTAACCTAGCTACTAAGTACTAGCAATAAAAGCTCATTAAATAAATGAAATACAGAAATGGAGGAATTCCTTGCTCTTGCCAAGCTTCTTTTAGTACTCCGTCCGTTTGCAGTTTATAAAGACTTTCGGCGCATAAATGAATGTCTTTAAAAAATAAATGCATCCGGTGCACTAGACATTCTAAGTTCAAGCAAGGTTTGGGGAAGGGTCACAACCCAAAAAGTGTGATATAGACAGAGACAACTTTATAATTGTTCAGAGGTCCCCTTCCAAGAATGTCTTAAAACTCATTATCGTAAACTTGTTATCACATTTTCTATGAACTTAAATATGTGTTATTAAGGTAAAATAGAAAGTTAATTAAAAGTTAAAGACTTAATTTCCAAATATGTTATTTTCTTAAATGAAAAGAAAATATAGATATCATCACATGGAAAAAGAAATGATATTGGAATTAAAGCCAGAGAGCACCAGCTTCTCTGAGAAGTGGGACAAGAGAGCCATTAATATGAGAGGCCATAACTCTATCCATTGCTCCAATTAGTTTTCCACCTACGAAAACAACAGGAACTGCAGGTGAGTTGCCTAGAAGCTTTGAGAGTGCTCTCTCCATCTCTTTCCCTTTAGGTTCTTGGTCCAGCTCGTATACCGTTGGGCTCACTCCCAAATCACAAAACAGCCTTTTTATTGCATGGCACATGCAACATGAGCTCGAGCTGAATATCACCACTGCACTTCCTGAAGCCAGCCTCACCACCCTTTCCAACGAGTCCGAAGACGACGACGATCGTCGCCTTCCCTTTGTGTTGTGTCGATTTCCCCACGACGACTCTGATTCTTGGTACTGCATTCTGGAAGTATATATTGATCCAATAAAATGGACAAAGAAAAAAGAAGAGATTTTACTGCAGACACTGTGCGAGAAATTAAAAGTGAGTTTTTTGTGTGGAAAGAAGAGTGGAAATTCAAGGGTATATATAGTACGTGGGCAATGGGGATATTGCTGTCGCGAAAGGGTGCGTGGCAGGTATCCATCATAGATATAGCACTGAAATAAATTTTGCCATCAATAGCCAATAGCCGAGTCCAGAACCAAAATGTGATTTTTTTGACTCAAACTACACAAATAGATGGTAAAAAAATAAAATGACCTTTTTATATATAGCGCCATAATACATGGCGCTATATACTAACAGTAACGGAACCGTTAAGGTATAGCGCCAGGTATTGTGGCGCTATACTGTTAAAGCTGACATGGCCAGGTATAGCGCCACAATGTCTGGCGCTATATATACAGTATTAATGTATAGCGCCAGGTATAGTGGCGCTATACATAGATATTTTATACCCCTCCGTCTTCTTCTCCAATTCATCCATCCACCATTATTTTAAAACTCTTCCCCTCTTCTTGGTCC